GAAATTTTGTACCACCCAAAAACCTTTGAAGGTGTTTTAGCAGCCCTCATTATCACGGTACTCTCTTTGCAAATGGCCTTGAACAAGCGATAGGTTATTTGATGTTGCATGAAGAAGCACCTGAAAAATTTAAGGTCGAAAGCTCATGCGATAATATACACGGAGTTTGCATGGAGTGAGGGAAACGCGCCTCCTAGGGTAAGTAGGGCATGTTACAAAAGCAGGGGCCTGCCAGTCGAAGAACTGGTTTACCGAAGTAGTTTACCCACGGTATGAAGCGGAAACGATGATCGGCGCCATAGGGGATCAACCTCAGAGAGCCTAATCGCCTAGCCCAAGGGCAAAGGATGGCCAAGAGGGGGTGGAGATGATTTCAAGACAGGTAGCGCACTATCTTACACGCATGGTCGCGGGTTCAATCCTGTATCGATATCCGCTTCGGCCGAGCGAGTCTTTCTTAACTCCGAGTCGATGGTAGGTAACAGACTCGTCGGAGAGGATGAATGCACTGACTTGTACATCGGCTGGCCACCGCAAGTCGTTATATGGGCCACGCACTCATTCAACGCTCCACTATGACCCTGAGTGAAAGTAGAATGCGGGGCGCATTTTTTCGGACAGAGTTCATCAACACCCGAAGACCTTATCCTTCATCCTTTGATTCGTCAATTTGGTATATGACCATATTTTAATTTTTGGCAATTTTTATGGGAAATAGAGGTTTTTGATGGATTTGCCCAATGATTCAACGGCGGTTTTTTGAGCATAGTGACGCAGTAGCGACAAGTACCTTTTCACTAATGCTCTGCTCACCGAGTCGTTCACTCTTGATAGTGACAACATTCTCTCATTCTTACTCGACTACTGTGAATCATCATTTTTTTCATAATTCTCCTCATAATGCTGTCGAAGTAGCTGGTATAGAACCATATAATCAAAAATTTTTCGAAGAGTCACTTTCAAATGCACAATGTCTATGTGGTGGAAGCCTAATGCGTAAGCTTGAGGGGTTGGATAACTCCGAACCTCTACTATTCACCTGCACGAAAGAATGAATGGGTTTTTGGCGACTCTCACGGAAGTCTGATTTCCAAGGGGTTTATTGACTGGTACTTGATAGGCCCTGCCCGAATTGATGGCCAAAACTAGGATCACTAGGCTCCGAGAGACATCGGATGAGATTCTACGGCATTGACCTTTCCCGTTTTGGGATGCGCCCTTGCATCCGACTTCCGCTCAGAATCGCAGTGGCGGTTTGAATGTTTATTTGGTCTATACATGACTTACCGTGGTCAGTCGATGTACATGTTAGTGCTTTATCGTTCCATAATGGTCTGTCACCAGTTAAACGAACATGCAGGAACAGAAGGCTGCGTTGGTAGGCAAGTACCGCTCCAGGATTCGATCCTAGGACCATGTGTGTGTGATAGCGTTACTTATGTAGCCTACATCATCACCTTAAGCCTGGTGAATAGTTCTTTTCTTATTTCGCATGGATCAGACCACTCCATGTAGCTTTGAAAAAAATGAATACTATGCCTCCCTCGATCAAGAACGTTCCAATGGAGCACTCTTGCTCGAGACAGGGACAAATGGAGACCTTATTGGCGCCCGTTTAAGGAAATCGGTAAACAACGGGACGACAGGCGACAGGGTGACATGTAAATCTCCTTGGTTCCACCTTAACCCTCGCTGATGATCAAGGTGACAGAGGAGGACAGATTTGCTACATCGATGTAGAGTTCTATCCGGTCGGGAAACATTTTATGAATTGAACTGCATCCACGTCAGAGCTCCTTTTACAAGGCGTTGTCTGTGGATTGAAGTCTTTTCGACATACTTGACGCATTTTACGGTGGAGCTTGAAGTGGATAAGAGGAGGGTAAAGCAAGGGTGCGGGCACTTGAGGGCAAAGCAACACTCTTCTTCAGTTCACCTCGCTTTTGTTTACTATCCGTTCGGTGAAAGAACTTCGGGATGAAACATCTTAGCAGTGCAAGCCTCCCGTAGAGACCATAGTTATGTAGCGAAAAAAGGGTTTGGGATTTTTGAGAAATACCTTCTTAGTTCCGATTTGGGGACCTGTACAAAAATTTTGGACAGGGGCAAAGATCCATTAAAGATCAGGTGGATGTTGGGGAAACATTTTTTTTTTCGAAGTTTGATTAGTTCTAGTTGTAGGAGATACTTCACAGGCAACTACCCTTCTTGATGTTTTCTGAGCTGATGATGGGAAGCAGCACACTTTCAAGCTTAATCCAGAGATGACTCTGAAAGAAAATCTATTTGTAGCAGCTGGTCCTTCTCTTCCCTAGGTCCACGATTTGGTGGAACTTTTCTGCGAGGATGAGGATACTTACCCATACAGTAACTGGCAAAAACCAAAATCAAAGTCATTTGGATCTTAGTGAGTTTTTGGAAGGTCTGAGAAGAAGAGATTTGCTTTCGAGAGCTCGAGCTCAATCATTTGGCTTTCCTACACTTCGGCACTCCTTTCTGTTTGTAGAAATTATGGGGCATGATCCGATAGCCGTAAAGAATCCCAATGGCTTTTTGAATCCTCTTGGTCTGAAAATCCAGGAATTCAGTAGAGTGTTCCAACAAGTACATTCAACAAAAGCCCATTAAAGCGGTTTTTATACACCTGTCTTAAAAACACCGTGACCACCATGACCTGACCAAAACCCTGGAAGGAATCTTTTCTTCTCGTCAGTTTGGGAGTGGAGTAGTAGCGGAATGCGCCGCGACCACGTCAGGGATCTGTAAGTTGTAAGGATCGTACACAACGTTCTTCCCCAAGCACTCAAACTCTTCATCTGTATGGATGGAGAGAATGGAAACAGTTCAACATAGAGCACATGTTCAGGTATTCGTACATCAGCTGGCTCCTAGAGCTTACCAGGCTAGAATAACACCTTCACAGAGACCTTTGTGATTTTCTTTATTTTGCTGGAAGTAAATAATTGGAGGATCTCGCTCTCTCATCATATTTTTCCTTCTCTTCCTATTGTTAGTGGCCTTACCTTCATAATGTCACAGTGATTCAATTAAGTCGCCCTTCTGAGTAAGATTTCCTTCATAACTGATTGTTGAGTGCTCTAGGACAGTAGGTAGGGCGCTTTTTCTAATGGCATCTGAGTTCCTGAAATTTTTGTAAAATCTACTGGTAAGTCCGATGGCATTATGTCATAGACTAGACATGTACACAGGCTGAAACCTCAGAAAAAGCTTTGAATAGTTGTGAATGGTGGACCAGTCCCAACGGAAAAGAGCTAGGTGTACTCAATCGATTTGCTTTCAGAATCTCCATGACAATGTCTCCCGCATTACCTAATCTACCTGATGGGTCCTTTTTTAAATTAGATTGGTCTTTTACGTGTCCTAAGAAGTGATGAAGAAGCTGCTCTATTCAAAGAGTCAATTTCTATCAACTAAATCATCTACCAAGAATTTGAGTCTTCATGTCACGCTTACTCCGACCTCACCTTTCATCCCTCCGGGGTCGGTTGATTGGTACCATACCTGTCTGGGAAAATACAAGCACTGACATGCACATCGGCTGGTTACCGCAGTCATTGTATAGGCATTCAATAGGTCACTACGATTCTGAATGGAAGGGGAACGCAAGGCGCATCCCAGAACAGAATTGATCAATCTCGAAGACTTCATCCTCCAATCAAGCACATACCATATGAAGCTTTTGACAGCTTACTTATTACCAGTGGAGTTTTCCTTATAAAGATGAACTGGAAAGATAATTGGAGTCGTAAAGGGAGAATTTTGATGTGATTGTACCAAAATTCGGAGTTTTAATATAGCTTGTAGGGAGCAGTGCCTGTAGGGACAGTCAAGTCAGACAAAGGGTCTATAAAAGGAGCTTCACCCGTTTGGAGGAGCTAACTTTGTGTGGATTTGACGTGAATTGCTCATTTTACTCAATTCTTCCATATAGAGTCACCATGGCATTCTCCCAGTCATCGTTCCCACGCGTTCCGCTTTGATGTTTGCCTTGGCATATATATCTTTGACCAAACTGGACCAGTACAATTCAGTGTTATTCCAAGAAGCTGATAGCTACCTCCCTCGGCTGGAGGAACTTTCTCCTAGGCCGAGAACTGCTGCTGGGTTCCCCAATGTTCGAGAACACAAAGTTCCCCATTACTTAGTCTTGCTGANGTAAGACAAAGGGTCTGTCAGGGGAGCTTCAACCCTCTGGAGGTGCTAACTTCTGTGTGGATTTGACGTGAATGCTCATTTTACTCAATTCTTCCATGTAGAGTCACCCTGGCATTCTCCCAGTCATCATTCCCACGCGTTCTGCTTTGATGTTTGCCTTGGCATATATAACTTTGACCAATAAACTTGGACCAATACAATTCAGTGCTATTCCAAGAAGCTGATAGCTACCTCCCTCGGCTGGGGGAACTTTCTCCTAGGCCGAGAATACTGCTGCTGGGTTCCCCTAATGTTTGAGGACACAAAGCTTCCCATTACTTAGTTTTGCTGAAAAAGACTTCGCGTTTTCTTTCAACCTCCTCACTTCAAAGACTCGATGCTCTCCCCATTTGGGCGATCCGGCCATTCTAAGCTTGGCATTTTCCTCTCTGATGACTTTTCACTGTCTTCCAACTCTTTTTCTGCCAATCAATGGGACGATTTCTCCCACGGTTGAACCTGTAATGTCTCTGGTCCAGCAGCACAAAGTCCAGCTTCGAGCTATGGGGTTCGGGCCTGACTTCCTCCCATTGCATCTAGCCAGTACTCTATGTGGGTCTAATTTTTTTTCATTTTATCAGTTTGTAATCCATATATTCTCTATGTGCTTCTTGTCGGTGTGAACATGACGTTTTATATGTGAAATATCGATGGTGTATAGATGATAAATTGATTGAAGATGGAATCACCAATATTTCAGGCCACACTTGGATGCGTATTTGAATCAACCACTGAGCAGACCACAAGGGCTAGAATACAGTAAACCATTGAATAAGGAAGTATAAATGCCTTTCAAGCAGCCTCTCGGTGAACGTGCCGAGAATCGGGTTGCACCATCTTTTATCCGGGTTTGTATCTTTATTCTTAGCTAAATTACAATTTGAATTTTTAGTTGAACTACTAGCTCTTTCTCATCTGTTTACCTGAAAAAGAATGTTTATGTTGATCATAATCATGAGTGATGAAGAAGCCTAACTTTAAGTCACTACTTTTAGTCTATAAATAGCCCTATTGCAGCCACTAGCCGATAAGAGAGCAGTGGTTGGAGAGCGAGTTGTGCTGCAATGTCAGTTGGATGGCCATCCGACACCGGCGGTGAAATGGCTCAAGGATGGTCATAATGTCTCCAACTGCCCTGATTATGAGGTTAGCTACATTTGTTGATAAGCTCCCTGTACCCAAATAAGATCCACGTCTACAGCTCCTAAATATGAGCCTCGAGCCTAAGTAGACAGCTATGTTCCAAAAAAGCCCTGGTTTAGTTGACTGCTCGAAGGCTCATGTTTCACTGCTGTGGTCTGAGATCACAAATAGCTTTCGTTTTCCTATAGTTTCAAGCTGACCATCATGTACGGTATAGTTTGAATGAGAATAAACTTTGAGTTTGACCCGGTGAGCCGTTGCGAGTTATTAAAATGTCGGATTATATGCTCAAACTGGTCATTCACATGAAATAGTCGCTAATAGGCCTACTGGTGGCAAAAGCAATTCGAAAATGTAAAAACACCTTTACACGAGAATTGATGATATCACCCTCGACCCTGTCAGATTATTAGCTAGTTGACTCGTCACGCACTGTATCTTGGTTAGTTGTCTCGTTGCGCGACATTGCAGTCAGGTCCACTTGGTTAGTTGTCTGGCCGCGCAGTATGTCCTTCACCACAAAAATCGTGACTTAATGCTTACTGAAGAGGTTACCTTTCAGATTCAAGAAGACGGTCATGTTCATCGGTTGATCATTTCACAAGTTCACAGCGCAGACAGTGGAAGGTTCACCGCCCAAGTGAGTAGCTTTCATTTGATTCTGACTTTTCAGTGACTTTACTCATAGATGAAATGTGTTTAGTATTTGCTTCTGTAAGTACAAAACCCATTTTTCACCAATTCTTTGTCATGAAAACCGATGTGTTGCCACTTAGCAAGGACCCCTTTCAAGATCTGCGCAGGCTTCTCTATAAGCGAACAGGTGGTTTGATGGCTTGTTTCTGACTCAAGCCTGTCAGCACTTGCTTATACCAAATACCACCCCCATCACAAATTTTTATAACAGACAGGTGAAAGCTCTTAGTTTTCAGCCTCTTTCGCGAGATCGGGTATCGCTGAATTGTTGGCCCTGAAGTTGGATTCTATATAGTCATGTTAAAGGCGGGCAAGGGGGGGGGCCTTAAAACCCACCTAGTAACAGCATAAGAGTCATTAGTGGAACGAGCAAAACTCGAAAGAAGGGAAAGGGCCTGCAGGGTACGATTGTCGTGTGTAATTATTAGGTTGGCAAATAAGTCCTGCGACAAAATGGAGACCTTTTTTCAATCATTTCTAATTTTTTTCATAT